GCCAAAAAAATCACTGTTGCTTTATTAAACATTTTGATAATTATTTTATATTACTTCTTTCATATGTGGATGACATGTTGATTGTAAGAGCATATATGAAGAAAATCAAGGACTTGAATGAGCAATTATCAAGAGAGTTTGAGATCGAGGATTTAAATTTAATCAAGAAAATCCTCAGGATGAGAATTAGCAAGGACAGGAGCACATGTACAGTGAAATTGTCTCAAGTGGGGTATGCTGAGAAATATCTTACAGAGATTCAACATGAGTGAGAAAAAACCATTTTGCACTCTCTTAGATAGTCACTTTAAGATAAATAATGAACTATCGTTTAAGTCTAAAGCAGAACAAATGCAAATGGGGAAAAACTTTATATGCTTCAGCAGTTAGAACTCTAATATATGCTATAATATGTATGAAACTAGATATTGCACAGGCAATCAATGGGTGACAGTGAAGTGTATTCTTAGATATTTGAGGATAAAAGTTAACATGACTCTTTTCTTTGGAAGCACAAAAATTGATCTGCAAGGATGTGTAGATTCAAATCTGACAAAGAATATTGAAAGTAGAAGAACTACAATAGGGAATATCTTTACTTTAGGGAACACATAAGTGAGTTGGGATTCCAGGTTATAGAAAATTATTGCAATTTCAACTATGGAAGTCAAATACATGAATATCACTGAGGCTAGCAATAAGGTGATTTGGCATAGAGCTTTAAGGCATAACTGGACAAGGAATAGGAGATTGGAAAGCTTCATAATAATAGTTTGAGTGTTATTCATCTGGCTAAGTATGTCTTCATATTATGACAAAATATATTCAGTTGAGGTATCATTTTATTCATTATATCCTAGAAGATGGACAGCTATTCTTGGAGAAGATACACATAGCTAAAAATCCTGAAGATATGTTGACTAAGGTGGTGACTACTAAGAAACTAAAATTATATTGAGCTTCAGTAAGAGTTCAGGAAGGTTGAAACCGGTGATGCGTCATACTATGGTACAGGACTATGAAGATGACATAGATGTGTAGGTGCAAAATTGGGTGTTATCAGTCTCAAAGTGGGTGATTGTTAGTGTTGTGGAGTCTGATACACAATAGAAACACACAAGAATTAGTGTCCAAATGTGGGGCGCCCCTGCGGACCAAAGTAGTGGCCAGGCGCTAGGTTAGGACCCAAGCTCCCAGTGCAGGGGCCTGCGCCCATTTCAGATGCGACACACCTAGGTCCACAGAGGTCGGTGCCCCAGCACCCATACATGTTTCGATAAAGCCACAGTTTCATAATTTCAACCCAAGAAAGAAAAAAGGTATCGTACGAGAGCGGCGTTATGGTGTCCGGAATAGTTTATACACAATATAAAATTTAAGTCTTAGTTTCATGAAGGATTATACTTTCTCTTTCCAACGAGCGCGGTGTATTCTCAATAATGCATAACAAATGCAAAGCGTGTTTGTGTTGAGGAGGATTTTGGTCAGTACCTTCTTTTGTCAGATCAAGAGAGGAAAGAGCGTGAATTGTTATAAATTTCAATAGTATAAAGAGTGATTTGAGTGGTATAATTTTATGTTACTCTCCCTTCATGGTGAAATTTTTTGTGTAGTGTGATTTCGTAGTTTTTTCCCGTTCTTAGGTTTTTCCACATTAAAATTGTGTGTTTTGGCTGAATTTTTTTATTGTGCGCTTCAGTTCAATTTATTATACTGAATCTCTCAAATTGGTAAGTTCTTCTGCAGTGTGATTTTGGTTGTGAGCCAGTCAAATCCAAAATTTTCATCCCAACAAAATTTATTAAGAGGATTATGCCTATATTGCATAAGTAATTACACTAAAAGCAATGACAAGCCTGATTATGGTAAGATACCATAGTGCGCCTACAAGTTAGTGAAACAATGACAGGTTCTCATATGCAAACAAAGAAATAAAGGTAATTGATCATATGTTTATTATGATATGACATCTCTATTAGTGGCAGTTACATCAAGACAACACATTCCTATATCAGTGTTCATATGGATTCTTCACTACATGAACTACATGCAACTTCCAAATCCTGACAGCCTCAACAGTACAGTAGGGATATTTCTCTCCTTACAATTCTGTATATATATGTTGTATCACTTCTTACTCTATAAGGGTGAAAATCATATATGATGTAATACTTTATTTTGTTGAAATCTATTAATCTTCTTATCATTTAGCTATTACTAAGCGTCTCTGCTTTTACATTTCTTCTTAGTATCAAAGTTCCAGATTCACTTTCTTTTTCGTCTTTCTTCAAGGCATACCTAGCTAACTCCTCTAGTAATTCTACAGAATCCTCTTAATTAGGATGGGAGACATTTCAATTCCTCCATCTCTAAAATTCCTCATATCTAATATCAAACACTTGATTAGTCTTCAGCTCACACAAGAATGTTATTCTATTTGGAGACTCCAAATCTTGAAAACCTTTACAACTAGTGGTTTCAAAAGATTTCTCGATGGCACCACAGCTTGTCCTCCTAAACGATTCTGTGATCCAACCGGAAATATTTCTCCAAATTCAGCATATCATACTCGGCAGCTACTTAACCAAAATCTTGCTTCAACTATTTTTCCACTATCACTACTTCTATCTTACCCTACATTCTCAATCTAAGCTCATTTCATGAGCTTTGGACAATCTTGGAAACAAAATTACAACCAACAAATCATTCTTGAGTTATTCAATTAAAAACCGAGCTCCATAATATCTATGAAAAATTAGACTATGCACCAATATCTCTCCTCTGTTAAAGCCTTAGTCGACAATATAGCTGCAATCGGTCTCAATATCAATTTTGAAGATATCATTCTTACCCTCCTATCAATCCGCCAAAGCTTCAATTTGTACTAAGCTCACAACAATTTGTTTAGATGATCTCTATTATTCATTGTGAATTGAGAAAATTAATATCAACAATAGTCAGGCAAAAGACAGTCAGCACACAGATTCATCCATTGTTTTAGTCTCAACTAAAGCCAAGACTTCTTAGACCAGCAGAGTATAAGGAGGTCCCAATTTTTGCAAAGGCAATAACTCTACTTTCAGAGGCTGAGCTTCCAACTATACAATGAGCTATAAAATTTGTGGAAAGCAAGGACACTTGGCTACAACATGTTGGCATCGTTACAATAATTCATATCATGCTCATGAGCTCATAATGCCAATCCAACTACTCTCGTCAGCAAATCACACCCAACATCCTCCTCTCAGACATGTCCTCTAATATGAATCAAATATAACAACTAAAACCTTACACTGGAGCTGAATTTGTTCAAGTAGGCAATGATTCTTCCCTTCCCATTGTGAACAACATCAACTACATTCTAACCACTCCAAATAGTAACCATAAGCTTCTTCTCACTAATTTTTCACATGTTCCAACCCTATCTCATATTCTCTTTTCCATGCAAAAATTAACCTTTGACAATAGCTATTCTGTTACATTTTATGATGTTGGTTATAACATCAAGAACACGTTGAACAATCGTATCCTCCTCAAAGGTTCAAGCAGTATTTCTTCCGTCGCCACTCATGAGTTCACAAACTTTCAGGCTCGCTCTTCTACACCTCAGCTTTGGAACTCTCAACTAGGGCAGTCCAATTCTGGTAGGCTATCAGTTATTTTGAAATTCAACAATTCTTTCTGCATTTCTTCTAGCTCCTTTTTCCGCAATTCCTTTAAAGTGGCAAAAAGCCATAAGTTACTTTTTTTCTAAACAGCTTACTTATCATTACAAGTTATTATAATTACTGCATTAAGATGGATGGAGACCTTCCCCAATACAATCCATTCATTGTTACAAGTACTATGTGTCTTTTATTGATGATTTCTCCAAATTCACTGGTGCATCCAATGAACTCAAAGGCTAAACTAACAAAAATTTATTCACCATATACATATGCTTGATAATCAATTCTATACTCAAATCAAAGTTCTTCGCTCTATGGAGAAGGTGAATATACAAATCATACCTTACAACAATTTCTAACCATACACGGCATCATACATCAATTCAGCTTCCCCCACACTCATGAACAAAACGAAGTAGTTGAACACAATCTTAGACATCTTACTAACACCACTCGCAGACTACAACAAAAATCTCACTTATCTCCGAAGTTCTGGGTTGCTGCACTTCTCACTTCCGCATATCTTACCTCCCAATGTTGACCCTTCATATAGGTCTCACTCTAGGCCTGATTTGTAATTATCATAAGTTGGCCATCATCATCAGGTGATAGCTCATCTGATGAAGAGAATTCTATCATTATTGGCACCTAAATTTTAGGCAACACATAACTGATAGGAAAGGTGATACATCTCAGAACATTAAACTAATAATACAAGGTGTTACTTCAGTATTGAAAATTTTGGTGAGAAAAACATTAATGCATTTGAAGCACAGGATGAAACTAGACCCAGAGAGCATAATTCTCTCTCGCTCCCTCCTATCCTTCGTATTCATAGTCCACGGCAAGAATATTGAACTATAATTACACTTTTTTTGAATATTTGAATTAAATACATGCATTTGCTTATCTAAAAAGATATACCAACAAATTTGTAAATCATATACACTGATTTAGAAATTTTCAGAAGTGTGAGTATCGTTTGTGTGGAAAAAATATTTGAAAGTTGTGACTAGAGAATAAAGATAGCCATGGAACCAAATTTTTACGAAGAATCGTGATAGAAGCACTTAATCACCAAGTAAGAAAATGTTGCTTTTAATCACAGTTATTTAAAATTAATCACACCTCTCATTAATGTGACAATTAAGAGCTTAAATTTTTAGTAGTCGTTCTGCTAAAAGTGTGGGGAAAAATGTGCAGGAGTACCCTTCAAACCAAAAAGAAATAGAAAGTGCAAAAACTAAACCACAGACTAATAACAGTCTCACGGAACAATTCAAAGCAAATTCACATAAGAAAAGGGCCGAAAATAGCGAAAAAAATTCTAACCTCTCTCATCTGGATCTGATAAACCAGGAATCCTCCCAGCTAATAGGCCCTGCTTCACCGCAAATCCATCTCCTGAAACCCCCAAAACTGCCCCAGAAACCAAACACAAGCCGGAAAACAACGCAGTTCTTCTGCCCACAAACCCAAAAGCCTTCTCGTCTGCTCGAACGTTGATGAAACTAAAGCCAGTTGCTTCCTTTCCACTAACTCCAACTTTCTCTAATAAATTGTCTGGGACGAATCCCTTTACTTGGATTTGGTGGAGTCGAGGATTTCTGAAGAAGCAACTGCCAGTGGTGAAGAGGGTTCCCATCTCGCTTGCCTCTGGTAAATGATAAGAGTACTTCGGATTTCAATTTCTGTTTCTGTTTTCGATATTATTAGATTTTTTGCGAGATGAAGCCGCAGGAGTACGAGAGGCTTCCGATTAATTTGAATTTTAGGTTTTCTCTTATCGATAATTTTGCTCGTTTTTTAGTAGAATATATATATCGATATAATTGTTTCTGTTCAAAATTTTGATGTCTTTATTGAATAATTTGCTAATAGGTGCGGTGACTATTATAAATTTTTATTTTTTGAAAAAGTCAAATCACTGTCAGAAAGCTGTCACCGTAAATCACTGTCAGAAAGTTGAAAACGATGTTTTTAACGTTTTAAAAACGCATATCAGAAAGCTGTCACCGTACCTATCTAGGTGCAGTTTGAAAACGATGTTTTTAACGTTTTAAAAACGCATAAGCTGTCAAAACGCAGTTTATCCAAACAGACCAGGTGCGATTTGTGAGTGAAGAAATATATGGCATAGGATACCACCCCACGCAGTTTACCCAAACAGACCAGGTGCGGTCTGTGAGTGAAGAAATATATGGCATAGGATACCACCCAAACTTCAATTTTTCTGAGTTTGTATCACTCAAATATTACATATTACACTAAAAATATCATTATTTATTTTAACTCCTAAAGAGTGAAATCCATGTCTTTTTATGCATAAATAAGGGAACATGTTATAATATAAAATATATTATTGAATTCTTTTAGGACGTAGGGCTCCGTGAACTTCAATTTTTCTGAATTTGTATCACTCAAATATTACATATTACGCCAAAAATATCATTATTTATTTTAACTCCTAAAGGGTGAAATCCATGTTTTTTTATGCATAAATAAGGGAGCATGTTATAATATAAAGTATATTATTGAATTCTTTTAGGACGTAGGGCTCCGTATTATTTATGGGCACATACAACTCGGTAGGGACATTATAATTATGGAAGAAAAGTAGGAGAGATGGAGATGGTGGTAAGATTTGAGAGGGCATCAAGGATTTTGTTTTTAGCTTGACTCATATGAGATTCCCATTTTTAGAGAGAGAGAGAGAGAGAGAGAGAGAGAGAGAGAGAGATTTTGGAAGAAGATTCAAGATCATCTTCTCTCCTCTTGACTTCTCTTTTATACTAAAAGGAAAAAAATAATATAGAAGATTCAAGATCATCTTCTCTCCTATTGACTTCTCTTTTATACTAAAAGGAAAAAAATAATAGAAAATACACTAAGAACAGTATAATACATAGCAATGGTGTCTTGATAAAAAGACTGTGGCATGGATGGCAGATGACGCCTTTAGAAAATGTTGGATTTATGCCCATGATAATAATGATTATAATCTGTAATAGTTGTCCAATCCCTATGTGGGCAAGATCAAACACTCGGGTGAAATGAGATTCAACCACTTGGACCGGTGGGATAAATTTAATCACTTTGGCAAATAGGCTCAGTTCAACCACTTCGGTGGGTTTGCTCAATTCAGTCACTTCTAGGATGAGTCAATTCAATATATTAGTTTTTGTATTTGTAATACGAAAAAAAAAATGTGTTATTTATATGGTTATATTTGTGTTTATATTTAGTTCTTCAATTCGTTTGACTCTTCAATTAGATTTCCACTAGAAGATTACGAAAATGAAGCCCATTATGTTGCATGGATCTTTGGCCTCTTTTGAGCTTAATAACATAAAAATAGGGATCTTCGAGATGAGAACTCAATGTGTTTCGAGGATATACCTTTTTCATCAAGGAACTCGCTAGCTTTCTTGTGAGGAATCATATAATTCGTGCTCATCAATAGACTAGGACTGACTTTCATTGGGGGCACTTTGTGCTTCGCTTGCAAGGAGTAGTCCTTTGAATTTTGTTAATGAATGAATCCATTTCATCCTCGGGCGCCTTGGAGTTCTCCGACAGAAAATGGCTATTTCGATTATTTTGTTCAGTCAGTTGAGATCCATTGAATGTGACACTTATGGTTGAATGGATTCAACTTGGTCGTTTGACAGTAAGACCGTTATTTAGTCAAGACCAAAATTTAGACGCTTATTATTATAGTGTTTGAGTTGCCTAAAAAGAAAGAACATGCAAAAAGTAAGTTGGGAGTCATAAATTGTATTGATTATAACGGTTGTTTAAACTTTTTGAGTGCCCACCCTTCAAGGTAATAAGAGCATTGTGACAAAACTGTGAGTTCCACATATTTGGAGAAAGGTTCACTCCTTCAATAAGTTTATTAGTGCTATGATTAAAATCCCAGTGTTTGAGATAAAAATTTTGCAATCTCATTTTTAAGAGAACCTTCATCATAGGAAGCAATTAATTCTCCTTAGATCAGAAGACGAGCTTGAAAAAAAATTAAACTTTTCTAGAGGCAGGAAATTTTAAAGGAGGGTCCTTCTTCAAGTTTGTTGAATAAAAATGTCAGTTCTCTGAATACTTTTATGGATGCACTGTTTAGGGCTAGTTTGATGGCTGAAGAATCACCGCTCCCTTTGGAATGTCGTTCACCTTAGAAGTTCCCACGTGATTTGAATGATCATGTGGAAAGTCAACTTCCTGATGGAACCAAAGAACAAGGTGAGCCTGATATGAAAATTTTTGCTAAGCACTAATTTGGATGTGAGGGTGTTGTAATTTGTCTTTCTAGGCCTTCATATTATTGGTTGTATGAAGGATTTCATGAGTTTGATGTGATAATGCGGATAGGTTGCAGAGCGACAATCTGTCTCAAAAGTAATCCATATAGATCCCTTATCGGGAAAGGAAGATATCATTGGGACTCATATTATTGAGGGTAAAGACACAAGCCAAGAAAGTACAAGCCTTTTTTTGGAAAGTAACGTAATGCAATTTTCTCAATCTGACATTCCTTTGATAATCTACTACTTTAAAAGATGTCAACCAATCAAACCTTTGAAGACTATGGGATGGGTGATACTAAAGTCAGGAGCCTATCCAAAGCAGCCCCTCTATCGAAGCTTAATTTATTGAAGTGGAGACGAATCTGGCTACCACAGGACCCTCCGCTTTGACTGAAACGGTTGCACTGAGTGTCGATCCCATAACTGATTTCACCCCTCAGTTAAAGGATTAAGATAACTTGATTGATCATGCAGCCGCACTGAGGGTGAACTTGTGGATGCGTGGGACGTGTCGCTGCTATGGAAGCAAGCAAACTGGTTGACGATCTAAAGTCCTATGAGCGAAGGGCTAAATCCTTTTAGGACGTATCCGTGGGTTCTGCCCAAATTCTGCTAGTATCGAGTTGTAATGGGAGAGAGAGAAAGAGAGAGGAGCAACTTATGGGAGGAGAGAGCCCGGACTCCTTTCTTTCATTTTTACATATGTTTCCTCTATTTAAACGTTCTAATTGGATGGCAATTAAAAATGTAATTTAGCCATACTAGTTATATAGAATGATCGGATAAGGCGATGTATCTTAAGCAGAAATGGATTGAAGAAG